GCCATTTTATTGAATAAATTTCGTGCCTCTTTCCGGAAATCAACTTTCTCAACCTCATTTCCGCTGAAACTTTTGAAAATTTTTATAATGTCATCATAATTATTTTTTAAGGCTTTGACAGCATCATAGTAGCAAGGCCATCTTGTCTGGCTTAAACTTTTAACCTGAATTTTAATTTTATTTCTCGATTCAACAGTTCCCACCTATGGGTCTATTGTTTTTCGCGGGGCCTGGGGGCCCCTTGTGGTGGGGTCCTGGGCTGCAGCCCAAACAGCCCGTAGGTAGATCCGGCCCTGTTCCATAGGTATTTATATTTAAGCACACAATACATGGCTCTACTCACTGTATTGTATTGTACTTCTAAAAAGTAGTACTATTTTTATTTAAGTATATCGCAAAAATAACACATTAATGACAAACTATTAAACTGCGTTTATTGCATTCATTTATGCAGTCGATTTTTCTCGTCTTTACATCTATTCAACTAACTGATTGGACCATATCATACAAGGTATCCCAGAAATAAGTGCAAGTATTGGTAGTATAGTTCAACCCCAGAAACACGCCTATGAGATTTTTTTCGCGAATTTTTTTTTAAATTGTCAAAGCCTGTCCGAGATTTAGTTTAGCTCTGCGCCGCTCCGCGCTGATATAAGAATACTGTACCGTAGTTCTGCTTTCAGTCGACAGAGTGGGTGGTTGTCGGGGACAGTGTTGCCAGAACTACGGATTAATCCGTAGATTTACTGATTTGAGTACAGTACGTTAATAATACGGATTTTCTACCGTTAAATAATTTAATATAATATTATATGATTAAACAAAGCCTTTTGATAGAAGAATAAAAAAAATATCAAAGAATATGATATCTTTGCGAAAAGAAATGTTAAAACAAAATAACAGAAACTCTGAAGACCTGAGACAATTGAACAAAACAATATCTAAAGAAATCAAGAAAGGACGTAAGAAAATTTAATACAGATAATATAAGGCGAACTATAGAAGAGAATAAAAGTATGAAGGTGTTGCGGGGAAAACTATCAAATGGAAAGAGAGAGATCTTTAAACTAAAAGACAACCAAGGGGTCGTGACAACAAATAGAGAAAGGCTGTTGAAAATAACAGAAAACTTTTACACTGAACTATATACAAGTAATCACCAACAAACATACAACAGTCAACAACGTCTGTGCAAAAAGATAGTTAACCAGGGGATCAGAGGATATACCGGAAATAACTACAGAAGAAATCAGAAACTCCTTAAAAAAAATGAAAAATAACAAAGCCCCGGGCGAGGACGGCATAGTGATTGAGGCTGTAAAACTCGGAGGAGGAACACTATTAAAATGGATTAAAGACTTATTTAATCTATGCCTTGAAAAAGGAATAATCCCGTCTCAATGGAACAACGGCATAACGATACTTCTCCATAAAAAGGGCGATATCACCGAGCTTGAAAATTATAGACCGATAAGCCTTCTTTGTCACTTGTATAAGCTGTTACCAAAATCATTGCCAAACGTCTCGAACGTAAACTAGATTTCTATCAACCAAGAGAACAGGCAGGCTTTAGGAAAGGTTATGAAACAAACGATCATCTTCAAGTAATTAAAGTCCTGATAGAAAAATCTGTGGAATACAACAGGCCCCTAGCATTGGGGTTCGTTGATTTCTAGAAAGCATTTGACACAGTAGAATTAACATCAATAATAGCAGCATTGGAGCAGGGAAGAGTAGATTATAGGTATACAAGGCTTATAGAATACATATATAGTAATGCCACCAACTGTAAAACTTCACGAAACAACAGATAAAATTGAGGTAGGCAGAGGAGTTCGACAAGGGGATACTATTTCGCCTAAAGTTTTTACAGCTGTCCTTGAATACGCAATGAAATCACTCTCTTGGGAGAATAGGGGCATAAATATCGATGGTGAAAGGTTGACACATCTATTCGCAGATAACATCGTCCTTGTCTCACATAACATGGAGATTCAAAGCAGATGCTCGAAGAATTAGTGCAGGCCTCATTAAAAGTCGGTCTCCGTTTAAATACGAGTAAAACGCAAATAATGACAAACTTAGTGCTGACACAGAACATCAGAATAAGTGACGCCGACATAAAAGAAACACATATATACAAATATCTCGGGCACGAAATACAAATCGGAAAGAACAACCAAACACACGAGATACAGCGCAGAATAGGTTTGGGTTAGGCTGCTTTTGGCAAACTGCGGGAGACCTTTAAAAGTGATATACCTATATGCTTGAAGAGGAAAGTTTATGAACAATGCGTCTTGCCGGTAATTACATATGGAGCGGAAACTCTAACATTAACGAAAAAGTCAGCAGAAAGTTTAAGAGTAGCCCAGAGAGCCATGGAGAGAGCCATGCTTGGAATAACTAAAAGAGACAAAATTCCTAATAACACTATCAGACAAAAAACCAAAATTAAAGACATAGTGGAACACGTAACTCGAATGAAATGGAGATGGGCAGGTCATGTGGCGAGAACATCTAAAGATAGGTGGACTAGAAGATTGTTAGAATGGCGACCTCGAGCAATAAACGTAGCAGAGGCAGACCACCGACACGCTGGACCGATGATGTAAAGAGGATTGCTGGAAATTGGATGATGACGGCCCAAAATCGAGAGACATGGAGAAATATGGAGGAGGCCTACGTTCAGCAGTGGACAACAATGGCTACATGATGATGATGATTAAACAAAGAACGTTGTTAGAGTGGGCTTGGAAATGAAGATTGCTGTTATTTCATATGTAAAATATTATGGTAAATGTCAATAGTTTCGTCATTTTCAACTAAACGACTTTTTTCGATCATACGGCATATTCAGTAAATTTCTTTATTCATAAAAGAAATTTTACTTTTGTGGATTATTCTATGTTTAACACGAAGAAATTTTCAATACATAAACGCTGTTTCTTCATGGAAATATATTTTCGTCGTTATGTTTTACAGATCTCACACATTTTAATATGACAACACTGTCGCTTTCAGTTCCATACCGTCTTCGATATGCCTTTGCTAGCCGAATTAGAGAAAATGAGTGTTGTATGCGTTGGCCGCAGAATGAGTAGAGGCTCCACCGTACAGCACTTGAGACGTAAGGGGAAGTAAAATCAGCCTTGTCTCGAATTTTCCCATTACGTTGCGTATCTTCCCAATTCTTTCAAGCAACGCTACTGTTTAGCAAATGCAAGAGCAAAATCCCTATATTCCCATTGTCTTGGTCATGTTCTTGCTACAAGACTCTTGCAGTGCATGTTTTGGGCTTTTTTGATTTGGTTTGGTTTGGTTTGATTTTTTTTAGAGATTTTTTTTGGAGATTTTTATTAGACACAATTTCCACATAGAAAATGTTTAAGGGATAGTTTTCGTAAAGTATCGTTCTATTTATTTAAATGAACATGAACCCCTTTAATAATACGGCAAAATTCTTATTTACATCTTTTAATAATGATCTATAAAAAATTACATACTTATAAACAAAAAACGTAAGGCCCTAAAAGACGTAAGAGTATTGTATTTTGGCTTGGTGTTTTAGATCTAATGCTAGATCTGGAAAATAATGAACTTTTGATTTTGGCGCAAGACGGAAATTTTTCTCTCAAAAAAAATATTTAATGTTATCGACTGAGGTGCCATTCTCTATCACGATTGGATAACATCTTAATAAGTTAATTAAGGATTTAATATTTTTCACTTTTTAGTTATATCTATGCTATAAAAGCATGTTATAGCTACTGTATTCTGACTGCATTTCGGTTTGTGCCCTATAAATAAGCAATAATGACTTATAATGGAAGAAAATAGGTCTTGGAATATTTACGATATACGAATTTTTGATATAAGTTCCTTTGAAAGATCTAAAAACGATTTGTGAAAGATTTTTTTAATTCACCCTCTAGAAGGGGTGAAGGTGTCTACACTTTTTTTGGCTCAAATCGAGGCTCAAATCAAAATTAACCGAGATAGGATGGCTAGAAGCGAGGGGATAGCTTTTATATTGAAACATTTTTTCATAGTCCTGACCGTTTCTCCGAAATTTAAAAAAAACACTTTATTTATACTTTTCACCCCTTCTCGGGGTGAATTTAAAACAATCTTGATTGAAATTTATAATTTTCCAAACAAATTGAATAAAAATGTCAAATATACGAATTTTTCAGTAACTTATAATTTTTTTTAAACTTCTACTATAATACCCTAACTTCTAGCCACCCTATCTCAGTTAATTTTGATCTGAGCAAAAAAAGTATAGAGATCATTTCTATGTTCAATTTGACACTTCACAAGTTTTATTTGAACTTGTTTTTGTAGTTCTTACCGTTTCTCCGAAATTTCGGAAAAATAATTTATATATTTATTTCACCCCTTCTCGGGGTTGAATTTAAAATAAATCTTTCACAATTCAAAGTAACTTATATAAAAAATCAAGTTTTTACCAAAACTTCGTATTTGAAGGCCTATTACTTCTTATTTGTGGTTCTAGGTAGGTGTATTAGAATAATTTCAGATCGGTATTTCAGAAAGAAATCCTAAACAAACAGTTATGTTTTAGTGTATGCCTTATTCCATCTAAGTGTCAAACAAAGTGTTATTTTCTTAAGTTTGTTGATTTAAAACGTTAGTGTTTAGTTTTTAACAATATACTTCAATTATAAACCATTAGATCTTAACTACTATGTGTTTAAAGCCCCGTCCACACAACGTTTTACCGGTCAGTCAAGACTTCATTCAAGACGTATCAAGTTAAAGTTTACGGTCCATTTTACTTGAACTGATTTTAGACGGAAGACCGTCTAGTCTAAAGAACTGACGGGATTATTCTGTTTTGCAACAAAACTGTCTGTTGGTTATGCACTTAAATGAATTAACCTAAAACAATATCAATTATGTAATGGGTTTTCTTTATAGTTTCAGTTTTTTCTGATGTATTATACATACTAATTTTTGGTCTCTTTTTGTTACAGCAACAAAAATTTTTGAAACGCTCCGCCGACGATTTAGACACCGGTGGTCCATTGGACAGTTTTGAACCACCAGTAAAATTACAGTGCACAACGCAACAACATGGGTCTCATCAGAACGAAGGCTTAACCAAATTTTCCGTAAGTAATTCTATCAGATTTTTTTAGCGTTTAAAATATTCGTTACACTTAACTTTATATTGCTACTTGTTATTTAAATTATTTGAGAGTGAATAAAGAATAAAATTTTATTCTTTATTTATTGTTTCGACCCCTTCAAAAAATACAGCTTGTCAAAGTCTTCACAAACCTATTGGTTTCAATTAACTTTTTCCTGACTCTTATTTCTTTGAGGGGGATGAAAACATTGATTTTATTAAAAGTAATTTAAAATTTAATTATTTTTTTTATTTATTTTTAATTTTAATTTTTATTTATTTTTTTATATTTTTATTTTATTAATTTTATTATTTTTATTTATTTTTATTTTTTTTATTTTTTTATTATTTTATTTATTTATTTTATTTTATTTATTTATTTTATTGATATACCAGTTGTTATAGCCTATAGGTGCAGGACATCATCCAACTTCGACCTTCTTTTGTTTTTATCTAAAATTAATAAAGCCAGTTTTTTCAGGTCGTTGTCATTTTTCTATCGTATCAGAAAATATGAAACATGTGTTGTAGAATTTACTATCGAATACATACCCATAAATCAGTCTTTTTATAAAAATATGCTTGCTCTAAAATGGTTAATCCCATTTATACTTTTCCACAATTTTATATCGATTTAAAGATATCTAAAAAGATGAAGATACGTGAATTTTTAATCAATATTAAATTGAGCTATTACTTTTTTTTAACTCCTCTGTTAAAAAATGCTCCTACATTCTACAGGGTCCGACAATAGTGCGTCGGGCATCTGTAGCTCCTAGAATGACAAACTTATACTTAAGAATTTTGTTAAAGTGCAAATCTAAAGTATGTTCTAGGATGTATTCCAGGAAAATTAATAATTAAAAAATGTATATTTTACGGTCTTTCTTAAAAATAAATAAAAATACAAGAACTGTCCTGAAATCAAAACTATATTAGATACTTACTTTAGATGGTCTGTACTTACTTTGCTATAAATACGGTAATCGTATATCTTACAGGATGTTCAAAATTCTACGCCAAACTTTCTAAAGTATAAAATAATTTTTCTTTGTTTTTCTAAATGGAGCATCATGTATATTATTTTTTCCATAGATGGAGAATTAAAAAATAAACATTTTTTGTATTTAGAATATTTCAAAATTTTAAACGGTTTCGCAGATATTCGGGGTTTTATATTTCATATGTCATTTTCCATAGTAAATTTTTATCAAAGCCACCCAATGATTTTTCTCTCGTATTTTACGATTGAGAGAGCCATATGATATAATACTGCATGTATCTGCGAAACCATTAAAAATTTTGAAATACCTTAAATACAAAAAATGTTCATTTTTTAATTCTCAGAAATTCTCAAAAAAAACAAAGAAAATTTATTTTATATTTTAGAAAGTTAGGCGTAGAATTTTGAACATCTTGTATGATATAAGATTACGATATTTATAGCAAAATTAAGTATAGACCATCTAAAGTAAATACCTAATATAGTTTTGATTTCAGGACAGTTAATGTATTTGTAATATTTTTTTCAAGGAAGGTTGAAAAATATAATTTATTTATTTATATCTTAGGATTATGTAAAGTGATCTGAAAGGAAGCCAAAAATGCAATAATACACAGAGTGTTCTATTTAAAAATCATCCCGATCCACTCGTACTTTTTTGAGCCATCCTATAGAAGTTAAAATATTTTCCTGAAATACATCCTTGTACCGGGTAGCCAATTAAGAATGGACGCCGGCTGTATCTCAGAAACTACTTATCGTATAACTTTGGGAAAAAATTTTTAATAAGTAAATCGACCAAGAGAAATCGCTGGAAATTATTTTCAAGTTCGAAAAATGTCTGTTAGGGGGCGTTTCGCTGATAGCCAATCAGAAAACGGGATTTTTCTCAAAAATATGCAGGTGAACAGGTATTTTAAATATTACTATTATAATCATCGAGAAATTTGTAATTTTTTTGATATAGAGTGTTTTGCTCTTTCTCATAAAATAAAGTGGTGGGGGGAGGTTAAACTTGCTTTTATTTAAATAAGGATAACTCTGGTTTAGGTTAACCAATTTAAACAAACTAGAGCTCGTTTAGAAGAGCTTTTCTTCCTTAATGATCTCCAGTGTAAATTTTGTTTTCATCATTTTTTTCGTGGTAGCTAGAGGGCGCTGTTTGATATCATAACAGATATTGCGCGTTTGCATAAAAAATTAAATAGGAGGCTATATTTCTCTTTACACAGTTAAATAGAGCACAAAATTTCCAAAATATCAGCGTAAACTGCAATTTTCTATCTTGTTTCTAACCGGAGATATTAAGAGAACAAATTATGTTAGGCTGCCGCTTAGGATTATATAGTCTAAAAATTATAGTAGTAGGCTAGGAAACAAAAAGAGGTAAATTAGTTACGTCAAAATATCAAAACGTTTATGTTCAGTTTTCATTCATCCGAATTTCGGGCGTTTTTTTAAAAAAGATGGCGTCATAAATTTTTAAACGTGTTTATGTAACATTATCGTCCATCCACATAATTTTTACGAATTTTTTGGTTAATTATACGTAGATAGTTGTCAGATTCTAGGAATTTTGTGCCGCCAAATTGCTTTTAACAGAAAACGGCCAAATTTCGTATGGCCGAAAACTAGGGGTTTATTTCATGTAACGTTATTTAGTTATTAATCCAAGTTCGTCCTTGATTTCACTTGTTTTCGTGTTTCACCTGTTGTTTGTGTTATTTATTATTGTATTATAAAGTTTATGTCGTTTGGGTCACTTTTCATATAGCACCGAACGAAGGTGCGAATCTTAACAATATGCACTATTGGTTCAAATCTACCCTCGATGCAAGTAGTTCAGCACCAAGACCAGTGGTCGGTACATCTTTGGCAGGGATTCTAAGATGGCGAATGATTATCTGAATGAAATGAGCTATCCATAATTTCTAAGAGATGAATTGCCAATTTTGTTAGGAGATGATGAAAATTCGTTTGTTGCAATTTCATCAGCATGAATGCAGTGGGTGTAGATAATGCAGTTTGGTGCAGTTGTGTCGCATATGTTGCTATGTGTAAGGCTTCTTGGATACCACTTACTTTAGTAGATAGAGACAGACGCTGGAGCGGCATATATCCATGTCTAGCTAGGTCATCGGATTCAATATGCCTGGGTTTTAATTTATGGGGTCGAATCAAGAACGAACATGGATAAATAACAATTAAATGGCATTAAAATGAAATGAAAATATATCTTTTGATATTTTGACGTAACCAATTTACCTCTTTTTGTTTCCTAGCCTACTACTATAATTTTTAAACTATATAATCCTAAGCGGCAGCCTAACATAATTTGTTCTCTTAATATCTCCGGTTAGTGACAAGATAGAAAATTGCGGTTTGCGCTGATATTTTGGAAATTTTGTGCTGTATTTAACTGTGTAAAGAGAAATATAGCCTCCTATTTAATTCTTTTATGCAAACGCGCAATATCTGTTATGATGTCAAACAGCGCCCTCTAGCTATCACGAAAAAAATGATGGAAACAAAATTTATACGGGAGATCATTAAGGAAGAACAGCTGTTTTAAACGAGCCCTAGTTTGTTTAAATCGGTTAACCTAAACCAGAGTTATCCTTATTTTAATAAAAGCAAGTTTAACCTTCCCCCACCACTTTATTTTATGAGATAGAGCAAAACACTCTATATCAAAAAAATTACAAATTTCTCGATGATTATAATAGTAAAATTTAAAATACCTGTTCACCTCCATATTTTTGAGAAAAACCCTGTTTTCTGATTGGCTATCAGCGAAGCGCCCCCCTAGCGGACATTTTTCGAACTTGAAAATAATGTCCAGCGATTTCTCTTGGTTGATTTACTTATAAGAATTTTTTTCCCAAAGCTATACTATAAGTAGTTTCTGAGATACAGCCGGCGTCCATTCTTAGTTGGCCACCCGGTACATTCTTTAGGTCTGCACTTAAACAAAATTCCCAATTTTTTTTTCTAGGAGGTACAGATTCTCCACGCACTATTGCTGGACCCTGTATAAGTCGAATAGTGAAACGGGTTATTTCGTGTTTTCTCTTCTAACGAAAATAAGCAGAGACGAGGCAAACTTAGGCGAGGAAATACGAAATAAGTCTATTTAGTCTTTACCTATTTGACCTTGAATAGTGTAGGGTGAATATGCGAGTAGTCGGACATACACCAATGGTCGGACAAAACATATTTATTAAAAATATGGCTTAATCTTGCTTCAAATAATTAAAAACCCAATTCTGCCAATTCTTCCGCTTTGTTCTATAACATTTTTTTTGCCGAAATTGTCACTCTGAAACCGTTAAAAATTCGGGAAAATGACCACATGTTTGTGTTTCCTAATTTTTGCCTGTTAAAGATGGAGGTGAGATAGTTTGTAAGGTAAGTTAAAAATTTTGTATCTAATTTATGAAGTACTTTAACTTTACGTGTATGTAGAATAGTATAAACTTTTATTTCAAACAACAAAAAGAATACTTTTTAATATTTTAATGTTAAATTTAGGTGTATTTTTTGTTTGAAATACAGGGTGTCCCAGAAATAATTGCAATTATTTTAAGGGGTGGTAGATCTCGATAAAAGAAACATATTTTCTCTTCATCGTTTTTCAAATAAGTCCAAAATAACGGAGTTATTTTACTTTGAAAATTTCACACCTCTACTTTTCAACCAATAACATGCTTTAATGTTGACTAGTTACCATGGCAACTGAAAAAATTTCCGGAAATTTTTTCGAGGCGCCACGAAACTTTAGTGGAAATTTTTTGACAGTTGAAAAGGTAAACATAAGATCTACAATCATAATGTGAATGAACTACAATGTCTATATATTGAAATATTACCCATTTGAGTTTTAGCAATACCTTAGCCAACTTAACAAATTGAAATTATTTTAAAATGTCATGTTGGATTAATATTTTTTTCAAATTTAGGTGTGAAATTTTCTTACCGAA